TGCTCATTAGGTGAGCAAAATCAGATGAATGTAAGACTCCTGAATAAAAAGTATACAAGATGAAAAATGTCCAAATACCTTCATCGCCTACATGGTTATTTCAAAATGGACATGGACCATTATGAATCTATTGTGAAAACAATCTGTGACTCTTTCTGTTTGATCCGATTTTCTAGAAGACTGAGTTTCTATAAAGGAAAGAGAACTCTGCAGCAGGTAGGCCAAGAAGAAAGGCCGCCACCTGGAATACCGGTCCTGCATCCACAGCTCCTGCAGAGGAGCCGGCGACCTGAGCACAGTGACAGCGGCAGCGACACGACGGCCCAGCTGGCAGGTGATGAGCTGCAGCAGGACCAAGCACATCCTGGCGTGTCAACCCTGCAAGGCCTACGCTGCAGGCTGCCAGGGGCCCAGCAGACTCGCCTGGGTGAAAAATTGCCCCAGCCCCAGTGATGGTGAACTTTGTCAGAGTATCGGGACAGAGATTAACTGAATTCTGAATGCACCTGTGTTATAACTTACTGAGAGGTGCAGTCAAGGCTAGGCAACGGGAATGTGATCCTTAGTGTACTGGTCCGGGAAAAAGAACTTTGAAAAAACAGGCTAAGAAAGCAGAATAAACTAATTCAGCTCACAGCACTACAGGGAGAAAAACAGCCACTTTTAAGTTTCTGAGAACTAACGCAGGCAGAGAGAAAAAAAGAGAAAGACATCACCATGGAACTTTAAACTGACTCCAAGGAAGCTAAAATTATGATTTGAAATGAATAATGACTTCAGAACAAGAGAATTTTGACCTGGGAGTGAGAAGCAGGTAGATCTGGGGCCTAGCAAAACCAACAAACTGAACCAGATGGCCTGATGTCTAGACTAGACTAGACCAGACTGGCTGTTCTCGGTTATGCCACAGGGGTCCCCTCATCACGCTGCACTCCCTTCACCAACATCTGCCTGCGAGTCGGGACCCAGGCCTGCTCTCTGAGCTGGGCATGGCACCGGGAACATACAGGTGTCAAGAAACTTAATAGGAAACTTAATTACCTATTTCAAGTTCAAGAGAAAGGAAACCTACTATTATTTACCCACCGGCAGAGAATGTACTCCTACATTTTACTGCAAACAAAAGAAAAGAAAAGAAAAAAAAGTGGCTGCATTGTAACTCTACATGCCTAAGACCGTCCTAGAAAATCAGAACCGAATATGACATACAGTGGGGGAGCAAGAGCCTCCGGCTAAACTTTAGAAGAAAAAGGAAACGTCTGTGAAACGGCCAGACACAAAGTTAACTGAACTAGATCTTTCTGACTGTAGAAGCTCTGGGACTTTCTTTTTTTTTTTTTTTTTTTTTCCCCAAGTTCCCTTCTCTTTCCTTTGCCATTCTGAGTTGAAAAATCAAGAAAAATGTTTACGCTGTATAATAACCCACCTTCTTGTTATAGCACCAATAAATGCCAGAGGTTCCTAAACGCTCGAAGAATATCTGTTTCACATCCAGAAGTAGGTTACTGTTCTCTAGAAAATATGTCACATGGTTCTCCAGGATGAACGAAGGGTCTCAAATCTAGCTGTCAGCTACTGGCCACAATTATGGGGAAAGGATCCCTCATTTTTCTCCCAGGCAGCTTCCCTCTCCTCCCCTTCTGACCCCCTCTCCCTCACCAGCTCCTGAAAAGGCCAGGACTTTGAAGGGTGACACTACAGCAGGGAGATGCACAGGCTGCTCCCTCTTCCTGGGACCGAAAGCACCTCCCAGCCTGAAACACAACCTCACAATCCAAAGTGTTAAATCATCTGTCACTGGAGACCAGCCTGGGGGAGATTATTTTAAAGGGCGATGCAGTCAAGCGGTTACATGGGAGGCTGAACATACACCCGAAAGAGAAAACTTTTAAAAATACTGTTATGGGCTTCCCTGGTGGCGCAGCGCTTGAGAGTCCGCCTGCCGATGCAGGAGACGCGGGTTCGTGCCCCGTTTCGGGAAGATGCCACGTGCCGCGGAGCGGCTGGGCCCGTGAGCCGTGGCCGCTGAGCCTGCGCGTCCGGAGCCTGTGCTCCGCAAATGGGAGAGGCCACGACAGTGAGAGGCCCGCATAACGCAAGAAAAAAAAAAAAATAAAATAAAATAAAATAAAATAAAAATAAAAATACTATTATGTAAACTGAGGCTGGGATAAAACTGCAGCATGGCGACACACAGTTTCCAAACATACCGTATGTTAACTCACCGAAATGGAGGTGTAGATGTGTTCTAGAAAACTGTGTCAGATGACTCAAGGTCTTCTACTTAGGAAAATAACACTGATGGTAGAAATGCAGGTAAAGGGGGGAATAAAATTTTATGATTTTCAGTAATTAAATTAATAAATGCAAATAGACATTCTGTTTCATCTGTATCCTAAAAGTTAATAATTAAGAGTTGATCAAACCCTCTTCTTTGCAACTTCGTAAGAAAAATATAGAAAATACTTTGGGAACAGTGATTCATTCACATACAAAATCTGAAGGCCACACAGTGAGTGGATAAAGGCAGTTTCTAGATTCAGGCTACTAAGAATTTTAGACAGGCATCATCACTGACCAATGGTTGCTATAACAACTAGGCAAGTTACTTGCGTTTTGGAGATCATGTTTCTGACAGCACTGGAGGAGGGCTACTACCACCAACCCCCGTGGGTGACGTAAGCCTTAAATAACATGTGGACGGTTCTTAGCACAATGTCTGACACACAGGACTCAAATGGTAGCTATGATTTCATAGATATTATTTCATAATATCTAAAGAATTAAAGTCAGATGCTTTAGACTCAGTTCAGATTCTCCACTCCTACTAAATATATGCAGTTATTATTTTCTCAGACAAAACTGGAAAAATAATACCCAATTTAATAGTATTCCTAAAAAAATTAAAATTGAAGGTGTCAGAACTACAAATTATAGTTATTGGTAGAATAAAAGAACTTAGTAATTGCAGCACGCAGACAAGTCTCTACTTTCTCTGAGTTCTAAGAGCAAAACATTTGATTGGGCTAAGGAACAATATGAGGTGGTCAAAAATTACAACTAATAAATTCCCCAGAGACAAACCAGCAGCTAAATTTCCATGATGTCTACACTAGGGCTCCCCTGTTGTTTGCACACCAGGAATCCAACTAAGTGCCTTACCGTCTCACAACTGGAATCACCATCTTTATATCTATTACTTACAAGAATTTAAAAAACAACAACAACAACAACAACCCATCATACCTAGCAAGCCACAACCCTCGAGTGGGTCAATATCCTCTAATTTGCAAAGATTCTACTGTCCTTAAAAGTGTTCTACATATCACAACCCAGCAGTTCCACTCCTGCATATATATCTAAGAGAATTAAAAACACATGTCCACACAGAAACTCATATACAATATTCACAATAGCCAAAAAGCAGAAACAACCCAGATATCCATTACTGATGGATAAACAAAATATGGAATACGCATTCAACTCAGACGTAAAAAGGAATGATGTGCTGACACGTGATACAAGGATGAAGCCTGAAGACATTATGCTAAGTGAAAGAAGCCAATCACAAAGGCCAGACACTGTGTGATTCTATTTATGTGAAATGTCCAGAACAGGCAAATTCACAGAGACAGAAAGTAGGTTAGCAGTTGCCAGAACCTGGGGGAGAACAGAATGGGAAGTGACTGCTAATATGGGTACAGAGTTTCTTTGGGGGGGGGGGGGGACACAGGACGGTGATGAAAATACTCTAAATTTAGACAGCAGTTACGCTTGCACAACACGGGACTATACTAAAAACTGCTGCATTGTACACTTAAAAAGGGGTGAGTTTTTTGGGTATGTGAATTATATTTCACTAAAGCTGTTTTTTTAAAGTATTTTACAGTGTAAGTATATACACATTTATGAATATCTGTACATACTTACAGTAAGGTTTAAATTTAGAGATAGACATATAGTTTCATATCTATTTAAGTTAATGTTAATTTTTTCAGATTATAAAACATTAGCATAGTTGAGGGCATACTGGAATATCGCATTGACAATCACTGATACATATTAAAGATTTACTTAAATCTCCACTGAACTGGCAACTTTAAACTCCTAGAACCAGCAACCTGCTCTTTGGTGAGTTAGCTTAAATTGCAACTGCTTGTATTTGAATGGAATCAAGAAACTCTACTAGTTAAATAATATGTCTTGGAGTACAGGTGTCCCTCGATACCTGTGGGGGACAGGTTCCAGGAACGCTCCCCGCCAACAATACCAAAACCCGTGAATGCTCAAGTTCCTTATGTAAAGTGGCTAGTACAGTTGGAGTTCCGCATCTGCGGATCAGGAGGGCCGACTGTATACAACAGACAACGTATCCTTCGTAGCACACAGCGGTCCCCTGCACCCATCGTGGACCACATAATAGTGAGTGAAACACTTGAACACATTATTTGTAAAACAAGGCCATGACAGTACAACTTTTAGCTCTATGTGGTGACCCTTTAGACGGGAGTCAGCAAACCTGTCCCTTAAAGGACCAGACAGTAAATACACAGCTCTGTGGATCAGACCGTTTCTGATGCAAGCTATTCCACTCTGCCCCCATGGCATGAAGGCAGCCCGGCACAATATAGAAACCAATGCTCCCCGGCTTTAACCAGCGTTGTCCAGCAGAACTTCCTGCAATGATAAAAGTAGTCTATTACCTACTGAGCACTTGGAAACACGGCTACCACGACTAATGATTTCAAATGTAAACAGCCACGTGCCGCTACAGGCTGCTGTCCTGAACAGCACTGCTTTAGACTACCAAGCAGCCAATTTCATCTCTGCTCAAAACAAAGAAGAGTAAATGAGTTAACTTTTAAAGCAAAAAACGAGTCTTACATTACAGGATGAACTGGAAGAGAACACGTGACGTAAAATTTCTAACAACTCACGGGTCAGACCAGTGAATAATCAAAATCCTAAGCAGATCGATCACAGCTCAAGCAGGAGGATACGTGTAGAGTTCCATGTATCTGGATTTTGCCATGCTTTGTCTGGTATACACTTGCTGGATTCCAGCTCTGAGGTCGTCCCAGATCTGGTCAAGGCCAATCTGCTTCAGTCCATGGGGATTCTGACTCCTGTTGGATGACATTGCTGAATAGTATTCTGAAGTCGTCCAGTGCAGCAATCCTTATTCAAGGTACAGCCACTTCTCCATTAGATGAAAACAGACAGTATCATTCCAGATTTATTCACAGCAGTTCAGAAAGGACGTCCTTTAAAGGCAGAGAATGAAATCTCATCGCAGGCAAACCTGAAGAAATAAAGGGAACTAATTAATCCTTTTTCAACATCCTGCGCTGGGGTGGGAGCGGGGGTGGGACAGGATGCCTGCCACACGGCAGAGACGGTCTGCAGGCCTCAGGAGGTACCACTCTAATCCAGAGAGCGTTTCTCTTTGTGTGGAAACACACTCATATTACATGGTCTGTGCTTACAGAGACGTTTAGTTCAAAATCATTATGACTATTAGTGCTCACAAGAAAAGCTGGGTAAAACGGACACAAGCACAACCAACATGTTACTTTGCCGGCCTTCTAAAGGTATCAAAACTTAAACTATATTACTTGACCTATGTGACAGTTAGAAAGACAAACTCAAAGGGAAAAAGGCAAAGGAAATTTCCAGAAAGAGAAACAAAAATAGCTAGTACAAAAAGCCAAACATTCAATCTCACTAGTTACCTGTGAATTTAAAACACTTTTTACTTAGCATCTGGCAAAATGCAAATGTTGTGGAGGCTGAAGGTGAGGGAAATGGTCACTCTGCCCCCACTCCCCCCCACCCCCCGCTTTTGGTGCCGAGCGCCCGGCGGCTCGTGGGATCTTAGTTCTCCGCAATCAGGGATTGAACCTGGGCCCCGGCAGTGAAAGTGCAGAGCCCTAAACGACTGGACTGCCAGGGAATTCCTGGTCACTCCCTTTTCAGAAGGGAACTGGGCAAGAATTACCAAAATTTAAAATGCTCCCTCAATTTAGAGAGACCCGGGTTTGAAGCTCAGCTCCATACCTACAAATACGTGGTCTTGGGCAAGTTACTTAACTTCTCACTGCTCTAAGCCTCAATTTCCCAGCCTGAAAAATGGGGGCAAATCTATTAACACATAGTAAACACGTGACAAGTGGTAATGGCTATTATTTCTAAGTGAATGAAGCTACTGCAAAATACAATTAACAATGCCTCAGGATTATGGATCCACAGATAAGGAACTTCAGCTATCCAATACTGTATTAAGTCAGTACTTCCCAATACAAAACATTACAGACATACTTTAAGGACTGTCTATGTACATCACATCAAAATGTGGAGGCTTTTTTTTTTTTTTTTTGCGGTACCCGGGCCCCCAAGAATGAAGCTACTGCAAAATACAATTAACAATGCCTCAGGATTATGGATCCACAGATAAGGAACTTCAGCTATCCAATACTGTATTAAGTCAGTACTTCCCAATACAAAACATTACAGACATACTTTAAGGACTGTCTATGTACATCACATCAAAATGTGGAGGCTTTTTTTTTTTTTTTTTGCGGTACCCGGGCCTCTCACCGTTGTGGCCTCTCCCGTTGCGGAGCACAGGCTCCGGACGCGCAGGCTCAGCGGCCATGGCCCACGGGCCCAGCCGCTCCGTGGCACGCGGGATCTTCCCGGACCGGGGCACGAACCCGTGTCCCCTGCATCGGCAGGGGGACTCCCAACCACTGCGCCACCAGGGAAGACCTGTGGAGGCTTTTAAACAAGTATTTGTGGCGCAAAACTAGGAAACACTGAATTCTTTTAATGGCTCCAAAAAATAAATGTTGTTGGGACGTAAATGGTATCTGGAACAGGAAGAATGGGTTGTCAAAGTCTGCAAGGGATTCAGTGCATCCTGCATCTTCAACGGCATTATAGAGCTCTCCGTAGGCTAAGGCACATTTAAGGACAACGTAGGTCACGCATATGGATTAAGTCTGAACTTCGGAAGCATAAATCATCTCTAATATTTATAACCTAAGCTATGGGACTTAACATTTTATGAAACCACAACATCATTCCTGATCCTGAAAATATTTTATGTCATACATTCAAATAGGTATGTCCAAATGTGAAATATAACGATGTCCAACAAGAACGAATCCCCAAGTTTTAAGAAACTAACAGCTCAGCAACCGCTTTTCAAGTGTTTCCTAATATAATTTCAATCTGCCTTCCCTCTGCCTTGGATGGTACATACTAACGCCCCACCTGACAGGAATCAGGGCACTGCGGACTGGCAGTGCCACCCGACAGCGTCCTTATTTAAACCTACACTCCATTCCCTGCCACTTACTTAGCTTTTCCCTAAAGGGAAATTATCACTTTAATTTCCCAGACTCACAATTCAGGTAATTCTACCTTAGATCATAAGCTTTCTCAGGCCCACCTAGATGCTCTATTTACTTCCTTTTCTTCTCTTCTAATTTCTACCGGCAACTGAAAATGTTCAACTTTCCCCATTTTTTAAAACTCATTTAAAAAAATTTATTTATTTATTTGGTTGTGCTGGGTCTTAGTTGCGGCACGCGGGCTCCCTAGTTGTGGCATACACGCGGGATCTAGTTCCCCGACCAGGGATGGAACCCGGGCCCCCTGCATTGGGAGCGCAGAGCTTTAACCACTGCACCACCAGGGAAGTCCCTCGACTTTCCCCATTTTTTTTTTTTTTTTTCTCTTTTTGGAGCTGGAATCTCAGTTTCAAATATCATCTTCCTAGGGCCTCATATACATCTTACTGATAGAGTACACTGTAAATAAGATATGATCTAACAGAAATACTAAGGCAAGAGAAAGTAGGGAGAAAAAAAGACCTGGAATAATTGAGGCTTAATTTGACTCTCATAAGAAATGTTGGTTCTCAGGAACTAATGTACAGCATGGTGACTATAATTAATACTGTATTGTATACTTGAAAGGTGCTGAGAGTAGATCTTCAGCATTCTCAACACACACACACACACACACACACACACAAGCTGACTATGTGAAGTGATGGGTGTGTTAAAGATCATGATCTTGATAATCATTCCACAATGTATAGTTATAACAAATCATCACATTGGGCACTTTAAATGTATATAATTGTATTTGTCAATTATTCCTCAATAAGGTTAAAAACCCAGAAATGTTGGTATTTATAGAAAAAATAAAAGCATTCTGAGATAATAGCAATCCCATTAACAATTTAAATCTGTATAGCTGGTACTTTATAGTTTACAATGCAATTGCAAATTATGCAGCCTTAAAAAACTCCTTTTAGCAGATCAGGAAAAAAGCATCAACCACTGCGCCACCAGGGAAGCCCCCCCATTTTTATCTTTACCTCACCTTATCATTTCAACTGGGTACCTTAAAAAAGTAAATTCAATCATGACACATAAGCATAGGATGGGGATGTATCAACCCTTCTTTCTTCAAACCTCCATAAGCCAACCACTCACAACGTTCATCTCCCGCCCAGACTTCTTCTCTGAACTCCAGGCCTATCTCTGTATCCAGTTCACGTCTTCTCCTATGTCTCAAACCCAGCAGATCCACAACTGGACTCAGGATCTTCCTCCAACCTCCATTCTCCACCAGTACTGCCCACCTCAGTAAGTGGCAACTCCACGTACCCACACAGCAGAAACCTGGGAATAATTCTAATGCCTTATCCCTCATCTTTCACATTCAGTTGCTATAGATTTTAACTCTCAAGGTCATTTCAAATCCACTCACTCATCTCTATTTCCTCTTCCAATAACCATCACCATCCTCTCTTACCTGGACCACTATTTCCATAGGCTGAACTGGACTCCCATACCTCCCAGTATTTATGTCACTCCCCATCTATTCTTCACACAGCAGTTGAGTCTAAAACTGTCACTCTGACTAGGCTGTCATCCTGAGAGCAAAGGCAGCCTGCAGCAGAGAAATCCTTACTACGGCAGAGTCACATCTCTCTCCTCGTTTGCCTCTTACAAAACTCCCCCTTCACCCCCCTGGGGACAGCCACACAGACTCTGCCCTCCTTTCTTGGACGTGCCAGTCCCCTTTCCACTCCTGAACTCCTGCTGCTGCTTCTTCCCGGAAAGCTCCTCTTCGTCAAGTTCTCTTCCAGCCACAGAAGACACACTAGGGAACTCCCAGGCGAGGTTCAGGTTCGCCCATTTCCAGGTCTTTCCCGTCTTAACTCTCATTCAGAGTCGACACTCCACGGCTGTGTCTTTACTGGGACTCTCTCCCTGTACCGGTGTGAAGGATCCCCAGGCAGAGAAGCCGTCTCTTCACTCACCAGTGTCTCTGAGCCCACTTCAGAGCAGGCGCAGAGCTCCATCAATGTCTTGAGTGAATAAACGAGAGAGTAAATTAAGGAATCGATGAGTTACATGTTTTGACAGGATTTAGAAATAAGGAAATACCAGCATCATGGAGCATCTAAACTCGCCCCAGATGCCCCTGGAGCATCTCCACAAATTCTATCTTGTTCCCTTTCAACTTTTTCCTTCAAACACTAGATTTTAGGCTAAAATTTATTTCTTGCTGTTTCACTTAGTCATGTTTTGTATTATCCTGGTCACTGCAAATGTATACATTTTTTAAACACAGTTTTTAAACAGACTTATGAGAGTTACAGAAATCTAGTGACCATTAATATTTATCTAACAAATATTTAGTAGGAAGCGACCCTTTTCCCAGCACTGTCCTCTGCCCTGGTTAGGTACTGTTAATAGTAAATCAAAGAAGACGTGGTCCACTTCCATAACACCACTGCCATGGGATAAAACATCTAAGAGGTTAACATACACATCTTTGGTACATAACCCACTTGTAAACTGGAAACTTTATGTACCAGGTATTTGTGCCAAAAGTGTTTGCTCATTAAGAGCCAATTACAGTCCCAGACAATTAGAGGTTTAACCTTAAAAGATGGTTCTGGCCCTTCCTTTTACAGATGAAGAAACGGACTCAAAGAAGCAATCAGAGCTGATCAAGGTGACAATGCTAGGAAGTGGCAGGACCCCAGGCCAGAGCTCTGGATTCTCAAGCCAGTATTCCCCAACACTCTAGTCTGAACTTTAGATTCTTTGATTTTTTTTTGCGGTACGCGGGCCTCTCACTGTTGTGGCCTCTCCCGTTGCGGAGCACAGGCTCCGGACGCGCAGGCTCAGCGGCCACGGCCCATGGGCCCAGCCGCTCCGCGGCATGTGGGATCCTCCTGGACCGGGGCACGAACCCGTGTCCCCTGCATCGGCA